CCTGCTTAAGCGCGGGTGGGAGTCAGACACTTTGTGTGAAGGTGTCTGAAGATGGGGTGTGTCATTGTTTTTCTGAGTGAAGAAGATCCCGACTTAATCTAATTATTTTCTCCCTGCAACATCTAAGCACTCCAGAGGATGTTATGTAACGAGCTCATCACGCTCCACACATTGGTACTGCTAATGTTTTCATTTTTTGTGGTGTGTTTTTTACACAAATAAAAATCAATGTTTAAAGTAATAAGCACACTCTGTGGAGGGAATACATAGCATGTTCCACCTCATGGTACACGTTAATTTGGTAAAACTCTACACCTCGCTGTGCACTGTCCCTTATATTTTACAGAAATGTACTGTAAGTCCATCTGTAGTTATTGCTTTTACCCAATTTTAAACATGATCCACAAACATCACCCCTCCATGTTATATGTTTGACATCCCATAATCCCCTCTGTTTCTGTGGTGCACCGTATTTTTATTGCCCTCAGCCACTGTATTACAACGCCATCTACAGTTTTCAACTGTTTGTTTTTTTATTCTTCATACTTTCATCAATTACATTAATTACCTTGTCAAATGCATTTTTAGCTCACAGCAGTGAGGTGATATATTAATATCAGCTGAATTTTAAATAAAATTTCTGACACTGTGACTTCCTGACAGTTCGAGAGATGGGGAGACTACGCTAAGCTGGCTGTCGCGCAGCCTCTTGCTTCCAAATTCAAGAGCCAGCACTGATAAATAGAAATATTTCTAAAGTGGGAATATTTGAGCGACACGTTCTGTTCCCTGCCGAGGTTTCCATTGATGTCGACTGACATGCTACAGTTCGTACATAAAGACAGTGAATGCAGATAGTGACTGTCACAGACTGTAATTTACACTCACATATTTTGACTCATCGGTTTTCTTTTTTAAATTCAAAAACAGCCTATTTACATAATATTTATTTATATTTCCCTCCAGAAGAACAGCAGTGCAAAGAAGCCTACTTTTGGGGGTATACTTATACTAAAGAAGCAATAGCACAAAACAGGACAGGTTCATAGTAGTGTAAATAGGTACTTTTGTTTTATAGGGAATACTTATTTATAATTCTTAAAAAGCAACATGTAACATATCTCTGTGTTTGGAGAATTATCTGTGTGGTGATTATCTTTACATGAGACCGAAAGTGACCCAACGATTACTGTAAATCATTATTCTTCTTTTCAGTGTACTATAATGTGCAGTCAAGAACAACCAATGGAAACCGTCTATGAGAATTATATTTTTGAATTCATATGCTGTTGTTCAAAGTGTATTATATATCCACCATGTACGCTGTACCATGTAACCATTGCTGGTACAATGGACCGAGGTAATCAAAACGTGAAGATGAAATTCTCTGCTTCTGAGTGTATTATTTTAGAGAGGAGCTAGAGGAAAATCTATTCAAATTATGTGGGATATATACAACATTGGCATATTTTCTAAATGTATAATTAACAGAGCACCACTGCCAGAAAATATCAAGAAATAATAAACATGGAGAACAGTGTGCATGCCTTGTCTTCAGACAAACACAGAGTTATTTTTAAATTAACTGTGACATTATATTTAGATATTTAGTCCAATATTCTATGTTGTGTTATTAATATGATCATTCTTAGAGGTGAATTTATTGAAGTGGAAAAAATGTATCACGGAAACAGCAAACAAGATCCAATCAGGTAAACTACATGACATTTACTTCAGAAATTATCATACATACTGAATCAAACTGCCTACTGTGATCATCATTCAAATTTAAGTACTAAATCAAGGGTGTAATCTGCACATATGAACATCAAATCATTACAGAGCCTACCATCCTGTGAAGAAAACACTAAACAAGTGTTTTTTTTTCCAGGGAAAAAGTATTCCACATCCAGACTTGTGTTTTTAATATATGTAATCTGCTTAAACTAAGATGGTAATGTTTCGGTTAGAGTTTAGTTTGGGACGTCTCTGTCTTAAACCATTGCATATATAAATTAATATTCTGATTAGTGCTCAGAGATTTGCAGACAGACATATGTCAAAGATTTAGAAATGTTCCACATGGATGAATGGTCCAAGACACCTTCAGATTTGTTCTCAGTCTTATTAAACTGTGGGCTCAATGCCATTACATTTACCAGGGGTATTAAAAACAGGGATGCCAATACAATAAGTAACATTTCAGTGGAATGAATTTTCAGATGACATTGAATTAGTTTAGAAGGAGTTTATTGTGATGTGGCAAGTTGCATATCCTGACAGATATTTGATCTTGGGCTTGGTGTCCAAGGGGCAACATCATGCCTCGATTCTGAGTGAGGTGAACCCCCACCAGACCACTAGAAGAGAAAGAGAAATGTAAAGGAAAGGAAGTAGGCATGAATGTGGAGATGGGGAGGGGAAGGAAGCAGTGTGCGTGATGGGAGATGAGGTATGTGGCAGTTTAATACCTGTGGAGAAAACAGGATTGGACGGATAGAGGTATTTGAATGAGGGGTTGTCTGAAAATACTTCAGCCGAACTTTTGTTATAACAAACTCCACTTTGACTCATATGTTTGACCACAGACTATAGCACATTATTGATGTTAATTTATGGAAGCCATTTTGTTCATCATCATCATCATCATCAACATCATCATAGGCTCAATGCACCTGAAGATAGAGAGAGTCCAGAGAGGGCAATGCTATCGCTAACACACGAATCCAGCTGAAATCAAACGTGAACGTTAGAAACGCGTGAGCCGAGCGATGCGGAGCTCGAGCCGCCCTTGCCTTCACATCAGAGAAGGGCTTCAGTTTGTTTGGCTGACAGAATTAGGCTGTACTGAGGCGCTGATGGCTGACAGTGTGACTGTATCATGTGCCGAGCCTCTGCTTAGCAGTCTGCAAAGCTTGGTTTGTGTGGAAACACCCTTTGGTAGGAAGGGCGCGTTTGGTGGAGAAGTGTTCCACTTTTCTGCTGATTACACACATTGGTTGAGCAGAGACCCTCTTACCTCAAAGGCCATCATACCATAGATTTGGGATGTAGTTCAAAATGTTGCTTGCAGCTTGCAGTGACAGAGGAAGCAAAAACAAACAAAAAATACCTGGGTAACTGGGGGACAACTGCTAAGATTTGGTAGTCATTATCACAATGCCAATTTACTGTGGCTATTATTGTATTTTACTGCATGGTTGTTTTTTTTCAACGTACAGTTTCAATGATTTCGCACCTGTTGAGGATCTTATACACTTTCTGCAAGTCTCTGAATTAGCATCATCTGCTAAAAAACTAAAATGCAAATTTAGGCATTGATGTGAAAGGATGCCAAACCATTGCCAGTTTACGTCCTTTAGCTGCAGACTGGATGTGCTGAAAGCGAGAGGACGACCATCACCAGGTCTGCTTTATTTTTTTAATTACATAATTACATTTATAATTACATCACTATCCTTTTCTATGCCAGAGGATTCATCCACACAGAGAATATTTCCCAAGCCTATCTATGGTTTAAATAATTGCCACAAACTATCCTCCAAATGGAATTGGTATGTGCCAGGTCTTGTATTGAAAGTTTTTTTCTTAGGTCTCCAGTTTTCTGATCAAGATAGCGAGCCTCCATAAGAGTGGGAAGCTTTGGTAACCAGGATTCTCATCACTCATGGCACTATTTCTGTTATTTTTAAAATTTCTTATTTATTTATTTATTTTTTTTGACGTGCTGCAAATAATCTCATTCTGTTATGGCAGCCCCATGTATTTGTGGGAGCCTGCTGGGACGGGGAAGCCTGACGTGGGTTATTTTTTTCAGTCTGTTCCTTTCTCAGAGAGTGCAGATGGAGGAGAGATGGGGAGAGAAGGTGATGTAGAGCAGGCACAAATCCTGCTCTGCAGAGCAGTAGCCCTGGGGCCCAGTGTCTGTGTGTGTGATCTCCTGTCTCATCCTCTCTCAAACTAACAGTGGGATAAAGCACTCTACACCTGTTCGCCCGATAAAGCCTTTTTTTTGCCTTTGACAGTATTGGAAATGCAAACAATAGGATTGCTATCTTCTCTGCGTTGACTGCCACCTCTGCGTGCGCAATCAATCACCAACTCTGCGCAGACAGACAAAACAAAGTATCAACAAATACATTGTTTTTTTTTTTTTGTTTTGTTTTGGTTTGTCTCATCGCTTTCAATCATATGGTACCACAAGGCATGTTGCTCGTGGTCATTGTTCATGTTAGTTTCGTTTCCTCACAGGTTGAGGGGTAATATGTTGTCACTTGCCTTTCTTTGCCTTTTCTGAATACACATTAGGTGCGAACCTGAATACACAGCTGTCAGATGCCATTTCTGTTAGTTTCTACATTTACAATTATCCCAGGTACTGTATTTCCTCATTTACACTGGAGTTTCCTCTCTCCTCTTCATAGTGCAAACATACTCCTACAGTATCTTGTCGGAATTAACGTGAGAATTCTTCAGTGTGCTTGCAAGCTCAAAATAATTTTGAAGAACCATATACCACACGGTCTCCGTAAATTGTTTAGTCTAATTTGTCATTGTGTTCACAATCCTCTGATGTATTTAAAAGCATGACTTGTTCTGCTTCAATTAATATCCTTATCTTCAAACAGTGCATTGTAAATTACAACCTCAAACATATTGCAATCCTCTGTCAAGCACAAAGCTAAGAGAAATACATTCTCAGCAACAGCACAAAGCTAAGAGAAATACATTCTCAGCAACAGTCACAACGCCACATATTTTATGTCAGTATTTTTAAAATAAACATGCAGCTTTCTGTAAAGTACACTTTTTAAAAAATGTAAATACACTAAACTTGCATCACAACAAAAGCAAACTGTAATCAGCATTATTGTTACATGATTCAGCAGAAAATGTTGATTTTTTTGTGGGTTAGTTTTGCAAGAATGAAACGATCATTATGAATTGGGTTTTTTTAGGTTACAGAAATAAGACAGCAAGTGACAACTAAAGAAATATGTGGCTCTGTGGTGCAAAAAGTAGCGCATTGCACTTCTAGTCAAGCACTTGAGATATGATTCAAAGGTTGCAGGTTCGAGTCCTGCCGGATTTCCACCAGCTTTATAAAGGTGGCACTGTGCCATTACACATTAGGGCCACTGGTCTTGCTATTCAAAGGCTACATGTTTGTATTCTGACTAAAAAGAAGTATTACCTTATTCTGTTTAGGATTACCAGTGTTGTGTTGATGTTTACTTGCTACATCCTGTTGTTCCTGTTGTGAATCATGTTTATTCAGAATTTGACACATGACAAAGGGAATGGCACATAAATAAAGGGGATCCCTGTGGGAGAGAGTGGGGCGACATATAGAATACTTGCCCCCATGAATGCAGAAATACAGGGGCAAACTTTGGTGAAGTCATAATATAATTAAAAACCCTCAACAAGGTTGTGGTAAAACAACAGATTCTATCCATTTACCTGCAAGCACGGTCAAAAGCTTTTTGTGAAGTTCAAACTATGGTGCTTATTCAGAAACAGTCTAACATGACACAACAATTGATAAGGAGCCTGATTTTATCTATTCAATAATATTTACTGACACCAACAAAACAGAGAATGGCCTGGCTCTGCTCTCTTTTGTCATTTTGGGTCCATTCACTTTCGCTGTCTGTCGTCTTACTCTATGAATATCACGTACTGCGCAGAACTGTCTCCGGCCACGCTGCTTTCTAACCAACGCGCTCTAATGAAAGCTCGACTTCTGTGGGAGAACTGTCCAGAATATTAACAGAATGCAGACAAGAATCATTTCATGGTTTGAAACTTTTCAAAAGGGTTTGGTTATCCAAGCAGAAAAGCATGATTGGGGCAATTAGCGAGCTACATATTGTCAATATTCATTTTAAATGACACTCCACTGCAGCACAAATTGGCATTTTGATGAGCTTCAGTTCCTCCCTTTGAGGGGAATGGATAAAAGATGCGAAATGATTTGAAGTATTGATAACAGTTCTATTCCTAATAATAAATCATTATGTATGATTCCGTATTTTCCTCCTGGCTGAGGTTATCACCTGAGCATACAGTACGTCATGTTATTACCTACCTGGAATCCAGGAATACTTTTTTTTCAATGACCATATGAATTGGAGATAACGATTGTATTCTAGATGGTATACACAGGATCTCATTAGTGACATATCTTGTCAGGATATTAGTTCATAATGCAGTGAAGCCCCCTAATTGTTGACATAATTGTCCATAGGATTGCCCTGAGAGTAAGGGTTTGGGGTGCCTGCTTGAGATATACCCGTAAAAACCAGCACTAGTTCCACCTCCTCTAGTCACATAACCCACTGCATGGCACAATTGCCATGAGGCTCTGCTTTTGAACTGCGGAGTCGAGAAGTGGCGATGGCATGAATTTTTACAGGATATTCATGCTCGCATTCACAATTTAAGAGGTCACTCAAGCAAAGAGCCGGCCCGTTGTTATGACTAGATATTCTATATTGTGAGTAAAAAAAAGGCCATCAAAATTTTATTTGAGATATGCCAGTGCAGAAAAATATTAAGGAAAAGAGCGATTCTTTGTGGTTGAATTTAATTTGACTGTTTTACTGATGTTACCATAGATGTGTGCTAAGATACCTGAAATAGTAATGAAAAATGAAATATTGATTAATGCGGACATCACATATACACACATTCTCTCTGTTATGTATAAATTCATACTGAAGTCTTCTTTACCTGTGCCATAAAAGAGGAAACCTGGCCTTGTCTTTGCAGCTACCATGCCCTTAAGTGACTTCAAACATTGAAGAATCGAATGAAAACCTTTAAGAAAAAACTTTATTCCAATCCTATATTGTAGCAGTTCACCATCCAGAGAAGACATCGCCCTATCCCAATAATGATTCAACTGTGTACGTCCTTTTAAAACATTTATATGCATTTCTGTTCTGTCCACAAAGCCATCTTACAGAAAACCTCGCCTTTGCAAAGTGATACAAGCATTTCAAAATATTGCCTTCTTTATTTGACATTTTGGACATCTAAGCAGGACAATAGAACTGAGATATAACATTTGCAGAATACTAGAGTCAGTATTCAGTTGCCCTACATACTCAAACCACAATTAAAATGCTTTTTGAGATCTTATGAAAAATCTTTGTGTGAAGTGGTATTGGATTGATGCTACTGTTGCAATTACATTAATTTCATGAAACCCAGTCTGTTTAAACTTTATGATAGAGGAATAGAGAACTGAAACTCAAAGGGAAGGAATATTTCATTTTGCCATACAAATATTCAGAACCAACATTTTAAAACATCCTAAATAAGGTCAACACTCCGCTGAGTCTTTAGCGCTGCTGAAATGAATTGGAGTGTCAGCAGTGCTTACTAAAACATTCTTTTCATCTGAGTATTGTGGCCCTGTCAAACCCTAATTTGTTCATATAAATGTAATTGTACTGACCCTTTGAGATGAGAAAGCCCGGCCCACATGTGACAGACATCCCATAAATGAGAGATGAAGCCGTTTGTGTCGTGGCTGATGAGCGGCTTTGAAAGCCATTCGCCTGAAATATTTCATGCCTTTATTTTTCATGTTGCGCCATGGTCTTTATGCTGTTCCCCGTCACATAATGACATTTGTCAAACCTAACCTTTTTTTTTGTTATTTACTTGAAACATGGGAAGTATTCAATAAAGTTTTATGGCCTCCTTTTTATGAAGTCTGGCATTTCTGACATTTTTGTGTGAAGTACATGAGCAGCTGAATTAGAACTGGGCCACGCTTGAATATTTATCAAGTTAAGCTGTTGCCCTGGGAACATTGCATCGCGCTCCCTCATTATTTCCAACCTGCGGGTTAGGTCGAGACGGGCCTCCAGAACATTAAAATCATAAATGTGGGTAGGCTTATTCTGATAGGGTCAGCGTCAGTCCAGCCGGGGACAGGCCTCACCTCCGCATCCAGGGGCTGAGCCGAGAACGCTCTTATACCACATTAAAGCGCTAACGCGTTTATGAGTTTCATTCTGCCTCCGCTGAAGGCCCCGGCAGACCTCCAACACATAAATGAAGCAAATAATAGCTCATATTACCGAACCCTTTCATGTGACAAAAAATAATGGCTGGTTGATCACGGTCTCTTTTTTCTTTTTTTCGCTGGAGGGTCTGCCGAAGCAATGCCGGCGCAGGGCAAACTGCACATTTATGGGAATGCAGAGAAGATTAGAATGTTATTTTTAATACATTATTTGCTGCATAACAGCCTGGATGGAGCATATCCAACACAGAGCTGCTTACATCCAGCAGATGGCAAATTATTATTTTCTTTGTTCTGCCATTGTTCTCTTAGCTTGAGGGAGAAATAAACATATTAAGGTGAGCAATAAAAGAGAGAGAGAGAAAAAATAATCTCTCTCTAAGACATGTTTCCAGAGTTACTTTTTGTTTTTTCTCAAGAGACACACCTATGTAGCACAACTGAAGTTAGCTACTCTGCAATGGTCTGATTTCCTCCAGCTTAAAGCTTTGACTCGTCATGTTATGTACTGCGCTTTTCAAATCCAGGTGTATTCAACAGGCACACAAGAGCCTCCAGCGAAGCCAATTTATGAAACAAAATTCATGTTTTACATTTGTTGAGATTTCTGCAGCTTGGATCCATGGGGCCAGGTCTCGTTCTGTGGCAACTTGAAGCTCTGCTTTAAAGAGAATTCCAGGTCTACTGTAATAATGCTTTTTTGGATGTTTCTGTGGTATGAGATGCCCTTTGGATTTTGTGTTATTATGTAGTGCTATTTTTGTTTGTTTGTGCTCTTGTGGATGGGGTGTCGTGGACCAGGGTGGAGATTTTTTGTGTTTTGCATTTTTTGTTTGGTTGTTTGGTGATCTTTGTTGTCAAATGATAATAATAATAAAAATTTGATCACAAAAAATGTTCATACAAAACACCTGATTAACATAAAAAACATTATGGAGATCAGAGATGTAAGTGAATTCATTCACAACAATTCCCACACAGTAACAATTCTGCAACATAAAAGAATAGATTTTATGAGTAGGGGAAATGTGAGCCTGAAAAAAGAACTTCAGCATTGTAGATTTATGAGCAAAGAAACAAAGGCACATTGGACTGGCAACTTCACTGTAATGTGATTTGTTTCTCCTTACCCTGTGACAGGAGTGAAATTTCATTATTTCTGTTGCAGCTGCTAACTAATATGATTCCCCAGAATAAGAAACTCAGGTGTCATCCAGAGTAGAAACCTGTGATCATGTGATCATGAAAACAAATGATCATGTGATCATGAAAACAAATGGGCACAGCGTTATAATTCAACAAGCTGTCTGGAATTAGGACATTGGGAGAGGACCGTTGCATGGCTTACGATCCCATGATTCAGATCCCCTTTTATTGCACTGTTAAGCACACGGTTTGACAAGGCCTGAAAAAAATAACATGACTCAGAGTAACTTAACTGGATATACACTCGGTGAGGAATGCAATGCATTCTCACAGAAGCACAATCTCCTGCTACACTGGCATAGATGTCAATACAAGGATAACTTTATTGGCAGCTATCTAGCTGGGAGACAATGATCCGAGTCTTCATTACGAAGCCATAGATTAGATTGATCAGCTTTGTCAGGATAGCCAATGAGGCACTCCAGCAGTGTGCGTTGCAACAAGCCCGCTGATGTGTGAAATGCAAAAAGTTCCAATCCAATATCGTCTGGGCTGCTGCTAAAGGAGAACATGGTCTCTGTCCCTCTCCCACCTTCCCTCACTATCCACAACCAATAACTTCTGCAAAGCTCATTGACGGAGAGTAATTCATACACTTCTGCATTTCGGTGGAAGCTGGTGAAAGCAAATACCTGATTAAAAGCCTGAATGAACATAAAGACAATCATTGCATGGCGATTGGTGCAACACATAAATAAAATACATGCTCACGCAATCAATTTAGAGTAAACCAAGCTAATCCAGTGTTTTTTTTTTTTTTTTTTGTGGATAGTTTTCTTGTGTTTGAGCCTATTGGGAGATTCAGCTTTAGCTTAAACACCAGCTTTGCTATAAAACATAAACAA